ATTCCACACAAAACCGCTCTACGTCGGAACTTTGTCCGAGGATGCCGGCGCCGTCAAGCGCCGGGTTCCCAGGCCTTTGGCGGCGGCGGGTCTTCCTCAGCCGGCCCCTGGAAAGATCATATCAAGCATCCATGATACGTGCATTACGCGGGCAAACTGAAGGGGTCCAACTCGGGCTGGGGTCCTCAGGGAGATATCCTCCTCCGCAAGTGCATCTATGAGAATACCGCGTGCGCTTAACCCTACTCGATGACCTCTGGCAGCTCGATCTCTCGGGAGACGCGGCAGGCTTTTATGAGAGCGGCCTCAAACCCTTCAGTATCCATCATTTCAAGGGTCACAAGAAGTGGTGGCACGCCTCGTTCCCGCTCAACACGACCAAGATTGCCCGCACTTGCGGGGAGGACTGCTCTTACCAACGCTTCGTCACCGCCGATAACTTTATCATCTCCAACGGATACAGTGTCGCGCAGTATCCTCAAGGCATCGACTTCGACCTCAACCAGATCGAGGGCACCTTCCGCTCAGACATCAAATTGGACAGAAAGAACAACGGGTGGGCCTTTGACTACACCTTCGGCCCCCAGCGACTGCCACTCAGCAAGACGGGTAAAAAGATGGCCTGGGACATCTACGATTCGCAGTACCTTGAAGACGGGTCCGTCTCACAGGTCTATGTCCGGAAGAAGGACGACGAGCGATGGACGACGAAGGAGGGAAAGCCCATGAAAACCCTTGATGGTATCATTGAGCTTATATGGATCCCAGCATGAAGTTGGGAAACGGGAGAAAAGTGAATGCTTGCAGCTGAATCATCTGCGGAAAGAAGAACATGAGAGTAAAAAGACAAAAATAAAAGACTGAGTGCCGAGGTCACAGCGTTTTCACCATCACACTGCTAGGTACTGGATACGAGGAACGCGGGTCGACCGAACCTACGGACATCAGGCGAGCGCAAGTTCGCGTCGTTCACCTCTCATGCGCATGCAATTCCCCTTCAGTGATATGTATATACGCGATGAGATGATTGATGGCGGATGGGCTGTTTTCAGCGGTTTCGGCGTCAAATCATCCCACCTACGTTGATGCACCTCAACCCAGGTATTCTACCTCACCTCGCATTAGGGTAGTGAATAGGAGCTCAGAGAACAAGGACCGCTGCTGCCCCCCTGCTGACCAGACCTCAACTGCGAGAGGCTACAATCCAGGCCAGCGAAATATCGTCTTGGCTTTTCGCGAATCGGGGCTGCGGCACAGCTTTGTGACCGCTCATCTGTTGCGCCCAAGATACAAATCGAGGGTACTGCCCCGTGCACTCGCATCAGATAATCGAGTTGATTGCCTGTATCATGCAAGGGTGCTAATAATCCTCTACAGCTCACAGCCTCGAAGCGGGTTTTCCGCCGACATTAGCAGATGGCAAGGGTCGAGCGACCACCAAAAGACCACAATCCTGCAGCTGCAGATTGCAGACTGCAGATGAAAAACGCGTGCGAACTGCATCCCCAAAAAGGGGGTTTTGCAGTTCGTTCGCCGCACTGGATTTGCATATAGTCTGCCCAGGTTCGCCGATGTCGCGATTCCATTTGTTCACCCAATAGTCCGGTGCTCATCAGTCGTCAATTCCATTGAGAGCAGCAACAATGCCGAGTCCGCGGGCGAACATGACTGTCGGCGTCCTACTGGCCCTGGGCAGTGCGGGCATGGCCACCAGGAGCTGCGTGTCCCGTTGCGTGAGTCCTGTTCTTAGTGTCGGGCCAGGAGATCGATCGCGGTGATTAGGATGATTGCTAACCTCGTGTGGCTCGCAGTGTTTGGATTTGAAGAACGTTCCTAGTCTCGAGGGTAAGGTTTACTTTCCCGACTCTGAGGCCTACGAGGCTCGTCTTCAGACGTACTGGTCTGTCTCAGCGGCCCTCGAACCATGGTGCATGGTACAGCCGTCGACGGCCGAAGACGTCTCGGTGGCGATCAAGACAATCGTGGCAGGTGACTGTCCCTTTGGCATCCGAGGTGGCGGACACGGCGCGCACGCGCTCTCCAATGGCGTCGAGCACGGCATCACGATCGACTTTGGTATGTTGAAGCTGCCCGTTTATCTTGACCACAAGTACCGGGTCTTTTGAAAGAAGCCTTTTCTGATCGATTTTGTTGTCATCAGGCCAGATGAACGGCACGACCTGGGATCCCGAAACCAGGCTTGCATCAGTCCAGCCCGGAGTCATTGGCAGACCGTGTACGATGAGCTGGCGCCTTACGGCGTTGCAGTGACGGGCGGCCGAGCGGGCACCGTGGGCACCGGCGGTTTTATCAGCGGCGGCGGCAATTCTTTCCACTCGGCGTCGCATGGCATGGGTTGCGACACGGTGGCCAACTTTGAGGTTGTGCTCGCGGACGGCTCCATCGTCAACGCCAACGCGACCAGCAACCCGGACCTCTGGCAGGCGCTCAAGGGCAGCAGCGGGAACCTGGGGCTCATCACACGCTTCGATATGTACCCGATCGAGTTCCCGGATCCTGAGCGCCCGGTGGTCTGGGGCGGCAACCTGTACTACGACCTCAAGTCGGGCCCGGCCCTCATCGACGCGCTGGTGCAGTTTACCGACAATGTGCACAAGGACGAGAACAGCTCGTCGATCGTGTACTGGGCACACCTACCCCAGATTCTCGGAGGCACCATCCTCAATGCTGCTGTGGAGAACACGCTGGGTGAGGTCAAGCCGGCGGCGTTCGAGGTGTATTACGACGTCGAGGGTCTTTACGACGACACGACCAAGGTTGATACGCTCTCCGCGGTGACCAACGCACTGGGGGCTGGACAGCCCGCAGGGTTCCGGTACGTGACGAGATGGCCTGCCGCTGGAGGTCGAGAGACGGGATGTGTTGGCTGACATGTGTACCAGAAATGCCTGGTTCACAGCATCCTTCAAGAACGACGCACGACCGATGAACTACGCCCGCGAAAAGTTCCACGAGCTGATGCAGCGATCGAGAGATAGCACCGGCGTCCCGTATCGAACTTTCAACACGCTGTGCATGCTGCAGCCGATCACCAAATCCATCGTGGACAAGGGCGTCGCCAACGGAGGGCAACATTTTGGGGTTGGAGAGCTAC